ACTCGAGGGGGTCTGGGGCTCGGGCAGCCCCCCGCCCGCGGCCCGCGCGCCTCGCCGCGCCCCCGCGGCGCGGCCCGCGCGGGGGCGCCCGCCGCCGGCTCGGGCGGGGCCGGGCCGCTGCCCGGGGGGCGCCCCCGCGGCGGGGCGGGCCCCGGCCGCTCCGCCGCGGGGCGGCGCCCGGGGAGGCCGCCCCGGGAGCCGCGCACCTCGGGCGCGCGGTCTCCCGACCCAGACAGGATGGCGTCGTAGAAAAATTCAGGACGGAGGTTTTTCGCTATTTTCGACCCCTCTATAGGGCCCTCCCCAGGCCCCAGGACGGAGGTTTTTCATGATTTTCGGCCTCTCTATAGGGCCCCCCGCCGGGCCCGGGGCCGTCACAAAACGACTCGGGATGACAAACCGGCCCCGGGGAAAGGGTCGGGACTTCTGGGGACCATGTCTTGACCATTCTTGAGCATGCCGCCTGTAGAGGGGCAGGCCCGACTTGGGGCTCGGCGGCGGCTCCCGCAGGCAGGTGGGGTCGAGAGCTCTGGCCGTGATTTTCCCGCCACGTGAGCGACGAACAGACACCCAGAGATCCAACGTATTGAAAAAATCAAGAAGAGGGTTTTTCGCAGTCTTCGGCCTCCAGGGGCCCTCGCCGGGCCCCGGGACCGTCAAAGAACGACTCGGGATGAAAAACCGGGCGCCGCGCACCTCGGGCGCGCGGTCTTGAAGGGGAACTGGGACACGCAAATAAATACACATACGTAAAAATATCCCCCTATTTTCCCCTATCTTCTGGGCCTTTGTCTTCTCCCCCACTTCCCATATTTTCCCATATTTTCTGGGAATCGCCGATTAATTGTGTCTTGACCATTCTTGAGCATTCCTCCTGTAGAGGGGCATGCCCGAATTAGGGCTCGGCGGCGGCTCCCGCAGGCAGGTGGGGTCGAGAGCTCTGGCCGTGATTTTCCCGCCACGTGAGCGACGAACAGAAACCCAGAGATCCAACGTATTGAAAAAATCAAGAAGAGGGTTTTTCGCAGTCTTCGGCCTCCAGGGGCCCTCGCCGGGCCCCGGGACCGTCAAAGAACGACTCGGGATGAAAAACCGGGCGCCGCGCACCTCGGGCGCGCGGTCTTGAAGGGGAACTGGGACACACAAATAAATACACATACGTAAAAATATCCGCCAGATTTTCCCGTATTTTCTGGGCTTTTGTCTTCTCCCCCACTTCCCATATTTTCCCATATTTTCTGGGAATCGCCGATTAATTGTGTCTGTGTTTTTTTTTCCCCTCCTGAGGTCTCCCGAGGCTCCCTGCCCTGAGATCCAACGCATTGAAAAAATTGAAAAAATCAAGACGGAAGTTTTCGCAATGTTCGGCCTCTAGGGGCCCTCGCCGGGCCTCGGGACCGTCAAAGAACGACTCGGGATGAAAAACCGGCCCAGGGGGAAAGGGTCGGGACTTCTGGGGACCCGCCCTGAGATCCTGGCGGCCCAATTTTTTCGAGCCAGGCGTTTTTTCGCTTTTTTTTTCGGGCCCCGCGGGGCCCTCACAGATGGATCCGGCCCGAAAGCTGACGCAGAAAGGTGGGCTCTGGGGCTCCGGGCGCGGAGTTTCACGATGTTGCAGTGTTCTTTTTCGCTATACGTCGGATCTCAGGGTGGGCGCTGCGACGTGTCCACCGCCGGTCGTGCTCGACCGGCGTCGGCGGGCCCCATGGGGCCATCGTGGGCCGATCCTGCTCGGTTTGGGTCGGGCCTGTCCCCCCGACGGGCGGAGTTTGGACGGAGCACGAAAAAGAATCCAGGAGTGCTCGAAGATAGACGAAGCATATCTAGGAAAATGGTCCCAAGACCATGTCTTGACCATGCTTGAGCATTCCTCCTGCAGAGGGGCAGGCCCGAATTGGGGCTCGGCGGCGGCTCCCGCAGGTGGGGTCGAGAGCTCTGGCGGTGATTTTCCCGCCACGTGAGCGACGAACGGAAACGGGTCTCTCGCCATCGTTCGGACGTCCATTCTCTGTATTTGTTTTCGGTCTCGCGCGTGGTTTTTTTCGCCAAATGGTCAAGGATGCTCCTCGATGGCCCTCGCCGAAGGAAAAATGCACACGTCCGAGCGATGCCAGGGTCTTGCGCGAGAGGACATATATGAAGGGGCCCCAGGACACACAAATAAATACACACAAATAAAAACATTCCCCATATTTTCCCATATTTTCTGGGTTTCTGTCTTCCCCCCCACTTCCCATATTTTCCCATATGTTCTGGGGATCGACGATTAATTGTGTCTGTGTGTTTTTTTCCCTCCTGAATATAGCGACCTTACGCAGCGGCGTGCGCGGACCGCCAGCGCGGCAAGCGACGTTGGAGACGAGGGCGCCCACGCGCGGACTCGCGCGGGCAGCTTGCGGCAGGCTCGTGTCGTGCCGACCCCAGCGCTGGCTTTTGACACCGCAGGGATCGTTCCACCTCGAACGATCGGCCGCTGCCGCAAGGTCCGATCGTTCCACATCGATCGATTCTGGGTCGCCGGCGGCGTTCAGCCTTGAACGCCCGCGCTGTTCAAGGTTGAACGCTCCTCCTCGTCCTCCTCCTCCTCCTCCTCGTCCTCGTCCTCCTCCTCCTCCTCCTCCTCCTCCTCCTCCTCCTCCTCCTCCTCCTCCTCCTCCTCCTCCCCCCTCCCCCTCCCCCTCCCCCTCCTCCTCCTCCTCCCCCTCCTCGGCGCAGACGACCTCGCTTTTCTTGCGTCGTTCATGCTGCAGCCTGCTCGCAGCGCCGGACCCCGGAGGAGAGGGGCGGGGGCCCGGGAAAGACCTCGCGGCACTCTCTCTCTACACGCGGGCC